AAAAATATTTTTGGATTGATAGATAATTGATCACTTTACACGCGTAGAGAGCAATGGCGTAGACAATATTTTTAAAAAAGTGCTTTTTATTGCAGATAATGTTTAATTTTAAAGAAACTTTGATCCGCTATATCTCGCCAACGAGGCATTTGCGACCCCATGTATATTAAAACTATTCATCTTAATTTTTCATGTATTATCTACTCTAGAAGTCTGTCAGCGGTTTTTTGAATCACCCTGTATATATAGAAATATTTTCTTTTTTAAATAGAAATATTTTAGTAAGTTTTTAATATTTGAATAATTTTTATTCGTAATCGATTTTAATTCGTTTTTTGTAGTTAATCGACTAGTATTATGAATTTTTTCACATTCTACATAGGTTTTATATAGTTAATTATGACGTAAGTTTTTTTATTTTTAAAATTGTTTAGTAATGTATATTAATATTATATCCAATCTTTATGTCAGATTCAGCTGAAGATGAGATGTTTCTCTCAAAACGTGTACTGAGCATATTTAATAAAAGCAAGTTTTGAAGTAAAAAATTTTCTGTTTAAAGTTATTCTATACTTGCAACATGAATCACCTGGAATCTTTCTTATAGTTGTTATCAATCTATTTCTATCACATTTTTGTATATGTTTTGCACTTTTTACATGTTGTTCTATTTATTTTCTTCCTCTCACACGTTTCTTAAAAAAGAATAATTAAAAAGTTAGCCATAGATACTCCAACAGATGAAAATTTAATTCTGTGACCAGTGCCGGCGCTAGCAAATGAAGCGCCAGGGTGCGGGAACCAGAGTGGCGCCCCCCCCAAGCATTTTAGGCGGAATGCGAAAACATACATAACATATAAAACATATAAGAAAACATACGAAAACATATAAGAGAAATATAATTTCGAAACAAACCATTGGCAACTCCTCTGAAAACTCAAATTTTTTACTTAAATCTTTGGCCAAAACGCTACGATATAATTTTTAAAACAATAGTTACAACTTTGGCACAAGCTTTACCTCATTATTTAAATTTAATTCGGGATAACTTTTTATCCACTGGGACACAAGACACGATATCACTTTAGGCATTGTTATTATAGATTGGTAGATTAATGTTCACTCACACTGAACACAGCCATAGTAACTATGGTTGGGGATTTCCTTAAACTTAAACTCAACAGCGCAAGGGATTCCCCGCATGTTTCTGTGAATCGTTGAAACCAACCCGCAATCAAAAAATTTCGTGTGTTGTGCTTTAAACTAAAAGGTATGTTCGCATATTTAAAAATCGCGCAGTCATTATATTTATTTTATTAAGCAACAAGAAACAAATCTAGTAAAATGACAAAATATGCGAAAATATGCAGTAAAAGGCCGTTGATTATGCAACAATCAAAAAAATTGTAAAAATATGCAAAATATGCAATTTTTTTATAGTACCATCTGCCTTATTTTTATGTAATTCGCCCAGAAACCAATTTTGAAAAAAATATTCCTGAAAATAAAGAAGATGCATTATGCATAAAATCCGAGCCCTAGTTATAACACTCGACAACAAATACTACTATACAGTAGACCGGAGTGATAAACAGAAAAGTTTCCGAATCGAATCGTAATAGTACGGAAAACTTGCTACTCGTTAATACGAACTCAGAGAAAAAGAATTTTTGAAATCGGACAATATCTTCCGTTCGCGCATCGTATTCAAAGTTTAGGAATTTGAACAGAAATTGAACAGATATACGAAAAATCGTAGGCGGTGTAAATGATATCCGATCGACCTAATTTTTTCTACGTAGCATAACCAAGACGTACATTACCAGAAAAAAATGCTAAACTGCTGCCAGTTCTGGCCAGAAATTATGCTTCACAGACGTGGCAAACATTGTAGCATGTCAGATTGAGATACTACGCTCTTCGTAAATCCTATTAGGGGACAAAAACACAGGTAAGAAACAAATGAAGTACAAGGATTTTATTGAAAAATTTTCAAACACATTATTTGATATATCATATCGTGCAAATGTGAGATGATACTTCATTGCTTTTGCGAAAAAAACTTTGACAAGTGTATTTGTCCCAATCCAGTAATAGTCAACTGCACTTGCCCTAAAGAAAAAAGGGTACCTCAATTAGAAATAAGATTTCTTTACGCTCAGAGACACCTCAGGCAAGGTAAGATTGGGACGATGGATACAAAAGAATCGCAAAAGCTTACACTAAGGTTGCAGAGACAGATAGACTTACCTCGTCAGCTAAATCAGACCACCCTGCCTGGACCCTCTTGTAGTAGTATCATGAACCAGAGATAACTTTTGAAGTTGATAATGATAAGTATGATTCACGCTCTTTGTCGTCTCAATCAGGTTGTTCAAAAGCTTCAGAGATGCGACTGTCACTTCCAGCAACTGCTTTGACAAGTGATCGATTTGGTGTGTCTGACAGAGCAACAGCTGCTATTACTTCTGGCGTACTCTAAGATCTAGGTCTTATTACTGATACTAATACATCTCTTATCGTTGATAGAAGCAAAATTAGAAGAGAGAAAGAAAAATGTAGATTAAAATTTACCGCATCGGAGGAGGTAATGGGGGAAATGAACGGTCCGATGTGCGTGTACTTCGATGGTAGAATGGATGACACTTTAGTCTTGGTTGA